ACTTAACCTATAGGGATACTTTTTGAAAAGTGTGATTGTTTCCAAATTTACAAATTTTCCCACAAACCTGCTCCTTCTGTTGCACAACAGAATCTGTGGAAAATACGGATTGGTCATTTTCCAATTATTAGAATTGGTGATCCTGCTTTGAAATTGGATCTTATTAATTTGCTGTTGGAAGTTTTACTTGCTGTGACGTTTAAAGAGGTGATTTTTGTTTTTGTTTTAGTAAGGGTAATTAAAGATAATTTGATCTTTGAATGTATGAATCAGAACAAGTCTTCTGCGGACCCTTAGTAGCAAAAATTCACCAAGACTTGCAGGCTCCAGTATAAAATGAAGCGTATCAGGAAATGATTGCAAAAATGTTTGCTATTCTGGTTTAGCTTGAAGGTGGATAATTATATGTTAGATAAAGTTACTACGGTACCAAAATTCTATTTCTTTACAACTTTCTGCTTTCACTTTTCCTGAATGCCACTGGCAGATCTGTCAAACCGGATTCCAAATGCAATAGCCTTCAGGCTTTTATCTCACCAGAAATGATGGCACTCTTATAAAACAAGAAATCAACTTTTAGCTATGGTTCCTAATGTCAAGCAGCAAGTGGCTTTTCTGAGCAAATTAAAATGTTTGATGCTATGATTTTCAACTGAGCAAAAATTAACGTATTTTTTGCACTGTCAGACGCTCCAGACCATAAGACGGTTTTGGGGAGAAAAACAAGGGGGGAAAAATATGTCTCTGCCTCCCAGCAATTTGCCTCCTTGCAACAAATAGCAAACCGCCTGGTCAGATTCAGCATAGCCTGATTTAGCACGAGCAGCTGATTGGCGATTGGATCGGCTTCCTGGAATACCACTGATCAGCTGTTCCAGGCTGTGAGGATCACCGCCCATTGCCACCTCTGCGCGCCCAATTTTCGGTATCTGCACGCCCCATTTTCAGCCTCTGCGCATCCTGTTTTCGGCCTGTTCCAGGTGGCAAGAATCGCCACCGATCGCCACCGCCACCATTCTAAATCAGGCTGTGCTGAAGCTGACCAGATTATTTGCTGTTTGCTGCAAGAGGCAAATTGCTGGGAGGCAGAGGCTGAAGGGTGGGGGCCAGCAGGTGGGCGGGGATTTGGCAACATTTACTCTAACAGTGGTCGCTAACCAGTGGGCTGCGAGAAAATTTTGGTGGTCCGCAGAGAAATGTCATCCCCCAGAGCACCCCCCAAAGCAATTAATCCAGGCTGCGCAGGAACACAAGGCTGCACCGCCACCCACATGGCCCGTGGGAACTCTTCCCACCCGCTCACTCCTTAACTGGCAAGCTTGCCTGCTAAGTTTCTGTTTCCTTTTTGTTTTTCCCGACCATCAACTGTTCTGCTGTGCCAGGAGATTTAGACTAGCTAGAAAACAGGAAATCATTACATTTCTTGCTTTTTAGCGATCTTTAGATCTTCCTTAGGACTGAAGCTTTTATGATTCAGTGCAGACTCACTGCAAGCAAATTTTATGTGACAGACTCAGGTAGCCGATGACCGATAGATAGATTTCTGAATGATTCTGTGAGCAACTCAATTTACCTGCCTGCTTTCAATGATTTTGGGTGGAAGTTGCTCTTTTTTTATAAAAAAATCAATATTTACATACATGGTATGTTGTGAGTTAATTTTGTGAGTTTGCTTGCATGCAAATTTTATGTTACAGACTCAGGTAGCTGATGGCAGATAGATAGATCTCTAAATGATTCTGTGAGCAACTCAATCTGCCTGCCTGCTCTGCTCTTTTTTAACAAAAAATTCAATATTTACATAAATATTTATAATATTTACATACAAGCCATGCCCAGCCAGTCACATGACCACCAAGCCACACCCACAAATTAGGCCACGCCTGCAGAACCGGTTGATAAGAAATTTGAATCCCACCCCTGCCTCTGTGTGTTTGTGTGAGAAAGGGAGAGGTTAGATCGGATCTCTCTTTCTCTGTCTCTCTCTCTCTCTCCCACCGTCAGCAAGCCACCATCAGTCAAAATTCATATTAGTGGTCCCCGGGATTTAAAATTATGAGTTTGGGGGTCCCTGAGCTCCAAAAGGTTGGCGAGCCCTGCTCTATAAGACTCATATACATTTCCACCCACTTTTTTGGGGGGAGGGGGTGCTTCTTATAGTCTGAAAAATAATTGTATATACTGTATGTTTTTGGTGAGTTATGAAAAACCTGGGCTGTTGTTTCATAAAGATCGAACAGAGGAAGTACTGTACTTTCTCACAATTGTTGTGCATTAAGGGCATATATATTAGAGAAGATGCCTGGAAAACTCCTCCTATGGATGTTGTACTCCGTATCTTTTGACCTTATCCACTCTTAATGGTCTTCATGGCGAAAAGCCTTTAAAATTTCTTGGAAACAGCAATGTGTCCAAGAATATAGTTTGTTTAGGCAACCGTTTCCAAACATACAAAAGGAGGATCTGTTGCTTTCATTCCCTAAGAACCTGAGAAAAAGCCAGTTGTTTTAAGGTGCCTGTTCTACACAGCTGCAGACAAAGCAGACATTAATAAAAGAAGTTTCGGAATGTGGCATATGCAGTTTTATCTGTTGGCTGATCCCCTGAGTGCATGAGTCAAAAGTTTCGTGAATGATGAAAGCTCCCTATTTGCAAAATGTTCTACAGAAATTTCAGCAATTTTGAATTAAGTACCTGGAGTAAAAAGCTGCTGTATGAATGGTTCTTAGTCACCGTGACCCTTATTTATTCATTTGAAGTTATTTGGATTGCAGCCTTCCTTAGTCCAGAGCCTTGCAGATGGGATTAGCCTTTAAACTGAGATGCAATTTTGGGAAAAATTGTAAATGCTTATTTTATTTTATTTTATTTTATTTATTTTTTGCCAGGGTTTTGAATTTTGTTGTTATAAACTCTAAATTGATGGCACGGTTCTTAATGCCAACAAATCAGTCATACAATCCTAAATTGTGAAGCTTCTGTGGCTTGTGTAACAATTGTACACAAGTTCCAATCTACATAGTATAATTATTATTGATTTATTACATTTATATTTCATCTTCTTTCTGAGAAATTACAGATGATATACATGAGTCTGCCCTCGCAACTCTCTCTTCCAAAAGCTACCCTGTGTAGAATGTCTATACCAAGGAGATTCACAATCTTCCAGGTCATGGTTTTCCAAAAAGCAACTGGACTTTATTTGGGGGGGGGGGGTGTATTCCTTGAGAATGTTTTGTTTATCATCCAAGAAACTTCTTCAGTTCTGACTCATAGGAGACAACAATCTATGTAGTAATTTAAAAAAAAAAACTTATTTCCCGTCCAGGTTCAATATCTAAGGTAGCCAAACTAATATACTTGAGCTGTTAAATTCCCCACAGCTCAGGCAGCAGGACCAGTGGCAAGGAATTATGGGAACTGTAATTCAATACATCTGATTGCAACCAACTTGAACTGCCCATTTTCTTTTAAAGCCTTTGATGCTATTGGAATCTCTTTTCTGAGGCCAATTTATTTGTATTTTTGTAAATTGACTTTTCATAGAGACTGGAACTTGTCAGTTCTGGACTGGAACCCTGGCTTGCAGTGTAAAATATAATTTGCTTACTTACGTAAATATATTCTGCAACTGTTTTGCAGATTAGATTTTGCTATCTTGCATGTTAATACTACTCGGAGCTGTAGCTAAGTCAAAAGTGAACCTTGGACAAATACTGAAAGATCATTCACTCCTTGTAATTTGAAGCCACCTGTTTCCAAATCTATGTAATATTCAAAACTGCAAGACATCTAGAAAGTAGGAAGGTATTAGGTAGCTTTCTTGTAGGTAGTATTTCTTCACATTATTAATATAATCCTTTTTCTTGTTCGTGCCTGGATCCTGGCAAAGTTTTACGGAAGTGAATTTGGATGTACTGTGACTCAAATTCACTGACATAGTTACATCAATGCAAATTCCTGAAATGTCTCAATATTGTTGAACTGTAAATCTCTGAAGTCACAGGTCTGGTGTGGCTTCCGCTCCAGTTAAGAAGTTGGGGCAGCTCTTTCTTGCTGCAGTCTATTCTGTTTCCTGTTTCTACACACTGAAAGAAAAGTTTCCAATACTTAGAAGGAATGGAGAACTTGCTGTAAAAGAAATGCAGCCTTAGTCTCTGGCAGTTGTGTTTTACCCGGCGCTCCAAGCCTGTCCATGCTTTATTGCTCCGCTGGATTTGAATACCTAACCGTTCAGAATGCTCCATACTGGAATACAATTTCGACCAAACTCTTTCTGGGTTACAGGGTGAGCATGCAGTAAACTATTATGCCATTTATGTTGCCTGTAAATAAGATGTCATAGAAAATAGATAGATGTTTTTTTCAGTAGAATAACTGAGGAGGATTTACTATTATAATGTTGGGGAAGGTGTGGTTCCATGATATTAAAGGACATATGAGAATGCTATGATCAAGTAGAAATTTGATTCTGGGTCTTTGTTTGGGGAGATAGCATGTGAAAGGATGTGAAACATAGCTTTGATCTACCGGTTGCATCTTCTGTTGAAATCTGCCAAAACTTGGCTCAAATCATACACTTTCTCCATGGAGGAATTCCTATTTCTGAAAATGTGAATATGCCTTTGCTAGATCAAGGCAGACAGATCAACTTGTAAGTCCAACTGTTCTGTTGTCAGACAGCCTAACGCTAAAAATATGAGTTGTATGTCCACATTTCTTCTTGTACTTCTGACCTGTACTTGATTGTCTTTATCGAGAATATTAAGCAAGAGTAAGGCTCTGAGTAAGAGTAAGTGTAAGACCCAGCAGAGTCCAGTATATATTTGATAAGCTAACTAAAAATACAAAGCTTGAAAATGAGCAGGCTTTGCTAAAACATGTTATCCAGAGGGACACTTGTCAGAAAATTGGGACTGGCTTCTGCCTGCTATGTGGCTTTGTAACTGTTGAATGTGTTTCTCTTATTTTACTTTTTTGTTATTTATCCCCTTCTCCAGAATCTTGGACTCTTTTCCTCAAAAGCCCAGAATGGCAGTGGACGTAGCCATGCAACTCTACCTGCGAGGGCCCTCTTTGCGGAAAGAGAGCTTTGCCTACAAAATAGCCCCAAAGATCAAGGCACCTTTGCGACCCTGCATCCATGTAAACAGCAGCCCAGAGCTGAACAAGCTGGGGTCAGAGGTCCAAGCTCTGCAGGGGAACAGAGCGAAGAAAAGGGTTTCTTTTGCGGACAGCAGGGGCTTGGCTCTGACAGTGGTGAAAGTCTTCTCAGAATTTGATGACCCCTTGGATATTCCCTTGAACATCACAGAACTAATAGACAATATCGTGGGCCTGACCACGGTGGATCACGATGACTTTGTCTTGGATTTCGTACAGCCTTCTGCAGATTACTTGGACTTCCGGAATCGCCTCCAGGCAGATTGTGTTTGTCTTGAGAACTGCATGTTGAAAGATAAAGCTATTATGGGTACGGTGAAAGTCAGGAATCTGGCATTTGAGAAGGCTGTCAAGATTCGGATGACCTTTGATACTTGGAAAACCTTCACGGATCACCCATGCCAATACGTGAAGGACACCTATGCCAGTTCCGATAAGGATACCTTCTCCTTCGATATTAGCTTGCCAGAGCGGGTTCAAGCCCATGAAAGAATCGAATTTGCAGTGTGTTATGAATGTGATGGCAAAGTCTACTGGGATAGCAACAAGGGATTGAATTACAGGATCATACGCTCTGAACTCAAATCGGCTCGAGAGATTTCACAGCCTTGTAGTGAGCCAGATTTTGGGATTGCCTTTGATCAGTTTGGAAGCCCCCGGTGTTCTTATGGTTTATTTCCTGAATGGCCTAGCTATTCCGGATATGAAAAACTTGGTCCTTATTATTAAATCAGAGACTCGGGGTTATATTTACTGCACAAGAATGAAGAGACACAGATAGAAAACCCTCTTGGGAGGTGGTTGCAGAGTCAGAGTAGGCAAAAGAACTGCAGTTTGTACTTACAGAATGGAAACAAAGAGAAATGTGAAAACTCCTGGCTGCAAAGGTTTTTAGGGCAGAAGCTCTCTTCGTGTTTCCTTTGAATTTAAACAAAAGGAGATGGTCTCCTGTGAGATGGCTGCCACAGATCGAATTCAGCACTTGGTGCTGTTGTTTGGGCAATTTGGTTTGTGTTTATCCTTTGAGATACATTACAGTATTGGTAGCTGTGCAGAATAGATCCCCCCTTCCTTTTTCCTTTCTGTATTCTGGAATCAAACTTGCTGTGCACCTCTCTGATAAAACCAACTCTCTGAGAAGAAACAAGATGCAGGGATGAGCTAAACAGTTTTCCCACTCCTCTCTTAATCAGATTGTACAATCTGTGAGAGGCTAAGAGTCCCAAATGAAAAGACTATAATTTTAGCTCAGATGATCCTTTGCTTCCTTCCATTTTAGGAATTGCCTTGTGTATGGGAAGATTCCAGAATGCTTACTCACCATTCTGCCTGTATCTCTTTTCCTAAACACATATGAAGATTTATTTCAGTGGCTGAGCCAGACGAGCCTATGTGGCCTAGTCACATAATCCACCCTTAACCGACCTGGTGCCCTCAGGATGTGCTAGACTTTAGTTCAATCTCCAGGCGGGACAGTCAGTGGCCTGGAGAAGGCTGATGTAGCATTTTAGCTTCCACAATAAGTAATTATTTTATTTAGGTGATTTTATTTATCTCCCTCCTCCCTTCTTTATTAGGTGGTGGTAGACTGTTAAGAATAAAATTGTTTTTAAGTCTTAACTCCTCATGACACCATCTTATTTACATTTAATTTTGTTCAGGCCTGTGGGCTTAGTCATCTGGGCGAAGAACATTTTAAAATTTCATTTTATTTCAAGAATTTTGTAAAATGCCTATAAATTGAATGTTACTGACATAAATAAGATATGTCAAATAATGGATACCCACTCAGTCCAGCTGTCTGTTGTCTTCCTCAACACTTCTGCTCAGTAATAGGAGCATTTTAACTTGGTGGTACAACAGACATTTTGAATTCAGACGCAAGAATGCTTGATCTCTCTAGGGATATTAATACTTGGTTTCAGGCTTTTCTCCCTAGGCTGGACTAGAACCAATTTAAAAATCAATTGTTTATTACAGCATAAAGAGGGTGGGCTACAGTCAATTAAAAAGCACAGAAAACACATCAAAGTCTAAAAAGAAATATTATACGAAGCTGAAAGACATAAAACAGAAAGTATATGCGTAAAAACCAAAAGCCTGAAGGGAAACTGAGAGAAATTTTAGGAGCATTAGAGGTGCAGGGGAGCTTAGAGATTAGTCTATAGCAGACTAAATTTATCACAGTACAGAGGACTATAGAATGATGAAGTGTTTGCTCATTAAGGCTGCTTTACGGCAGAGGTCATCATCTGATGGATTTTAAGCACGGCTACACAGAACCTGGCAACAGATGTTTTAGCAGAGTTAATATCTGAAAGAAGTAGGAAGAAGTAGAATTGTCCTGTAGAATTCTGGGTATTTATGCAATGATGGCAAGATGAGCCTAATGTGAATGTCTTCGTAGTACAGACACTGGAGGAGTATTGTTTCTGTGTGTCCAGAGTCAAAGGGACATGGTCTCTCTGAGTAGGGGATTTTCTGGTGTTGGCCTTCAACAGCAGTTTAAGTGATGGCAGGACAGTGTTGCAAAATGAATTAAACAAACGTTCAAGAATCCAGGAGCTTTATTATAGAAAAGTTAAAAGCCAGTATGAATGAATTCCAGTGACTACTGTGTGTCAAACATGAGTCCTTTCTTTAATGAAATCAGTATTCAAATTCTTGTCAGTTTCTCCTGATTGAACTATGCAATGGGCTAGATTTCCCTTTCTTTTGACAGATATCCTGGTCTTTTCTTTGTTAATGGGCATATGTAGTATGAGATGAAATATCAATTTCCTATGTTCCTGAACTCTGGCAAAGTTGAGAGGGAAAGAATAGTTATCCAAAAAATGGTATATCGTTCCCTGCATGCAGAGCAAAACAATCAAAAATGTTCCTTCATCTCCATAAATTTATCACTAATTCTTGTCCAAAATGTTTTCCCCTATTGGTAGATACAGTAGTAACTACAGGTAATAGCCAAGTTTTATCATTTACTGGGGCCAATCCTTCTCTGGTTCTTGTTTAACACTAAAGAAAGCCATTTAGACTTTCCACCTTGGATTATAAATCCAACTGACTAGAAAGTTAACCCTTTTCAGTGCTTGTTTGTAGTGTCTATAACAAAATGGTGAAATTACTTGAAAACTCAACGATATACATACTAGAGTTTCATAACTCAACCTTCAAGCAAATCAGTTGTTCTGGTTCCATTCAATGGTGGTGACTGAATAAGTAGCTCGATAAATAGTTTTTCTGGGTGTGAAGTAGAACTGAGGATTTTAGATTTAGTATCTAATGTCCAAATGAAGTTCTTATGTTCCCTGTTCTGTCTGAAAAAAAAACCTTGATTTGGAAAGGAGTTTGTGCAGTCTCCTATGCAATTTTGGAAAAGCAGCAGTGACCAAGCTTGATTACTTAGCATGACGCAAGAGCCTTGCCCTGGAATGTTAGCTTGTGGTTAAAAATGGGGAAAGTCTGTCAACATGCTACAGCTTGTTACTTAAGAAATATGCATATCCTGCATTTTCTTAACTCTTATAATGAGTCCTGTCATTTTATTTGCATGCCTTCAGCTTGAATTAAGAGTTGGCACGGGAACTGTTAGAAGCTGGGTATTAGAAACTTCAGTGCTAATACCCGATTGGTCTTAGATATTGCTGCTTTAAAAATTAAAAATTAAGAAAAAAACCCTAGGAGGACGGTGTGATCAGCAGTTGCAAGCCTGTTATGATAAAGATGGACTTCCCCTACATGCCATGGGTCTCTCTTCCCATTGCCATTTGAAAAGTGAGAGCATGGCTTCTTTTGCAATGGGGTTTATTATGAGGAAAAGGATTTTGGGGCTGAGCCACTCCGATGGGGTAACTAATACTTTCTGTGAAGGGAAACTGAATCCTCTGGTTGGTTATATGCCAGAAAAAAAATCATTTATTTTTTTAATTCCCCAAGAAACAACCAGTAATAAAATGCACACATTAACTGCTGCTTTAACTTAAATAGCAAGATTTTCAAAACCGTTTTGAATGAAGCCACTGAACACAGCAGTACATACGTTCAAAAGAAATATGTATCATAACCTTTCTCTTCCTGAAGATCTCCAGATGCTACAGGAGATGATGGCATGAGAAGCAGGAAAATGTGTACATTTGTAGTTAGAGAGTAGAAAATTAGTTTAAATTACAAGTTTGGGATTGCAAGTGGGAAGGTTACTATAGACTACAAAAATGTTTTAACCTTTGTGTATAGTCAAGAAATAATCCCTCAAGGTCATGTGCAAAATCCATTCCTTCATGCAATTCCTCAATAAAATTGCAAATCAGCTGTTCACAACTGCCTTTTATGTTGAATTAATATGCCAGTAGAAAAAAACAAGCTGGGGAAAATTCATGCATTATCCTTAATCCTTCTGATCAGGACTATACGTGGCCCTGTTTAGATACGGTTTCTTCCTGTAAGCCTTGAAACATGCCACATCTTTATAAATCAAGATCCCACTCACATGATCCATCCCTCTGTATTAATCCTTCATGTTCCCACCCTGTTTAGGGATGTGTTATAGGACAGAAATACCTCAAGTAACAACACTGAACTGAAGAACTCTGGACAAATCAAATATAAACCAGTTGAATTGTTTCAGTCTGAAAGTCCGGATTCTATATATCCCCTAATTCAATCTTCCAAAGGCCTTATGCTAGGTTGTAATGGTATGTAAAACTATCTTAAAGGTTTCCAAGAAGGTAGATCAAAGTATCAAAGCTCATGCCAAAGGGGCAAGGACACAATTTGCTGAACCCAAAGGTGCAAAATCTGAGTTTCTTGGACTGAATGTTCCTCTGATTGAATTTTAAAAACATGAGTAATTTTAATTATAACTAGTGCACCCCTGCACAATGTCATAATGAAGTTTGCTTGGTTTGGCTTTATTTTCTGGATGGCCATTGGGTTTATAAACCATGGCTTATTGAGGAGTCACACATGAATCCAAATAATTGGCTTCTTTAGCAGATCTAGCTTATTGTGATGTGACTAGAAAGAAAGAAAAAAAATACTTAACAGTGTGAAATGCATACCCAGGATAGCTATAAGAACTGCACTTTTATTTGTCTTCTTTCCAAATTTTAAAGCCAACTTTTTGGACTTTTGTGTTTCTCTTGCCTGTATGAATGTAATGAGGAATAGTCCATTTTTTGCTTCAGGATGCCTTGCATGTTGTTAAATATATTTTTTACACAACTGAAAAATGCACTTTACAATCACAATGGGTTTATTTTGTGTAGTGTTTTTTGAAATGTTTTTATCTGAGAGCAAATAATAAACTGTTACAAATAAAACATCCATTGAGTTTTGCTCTTCTTTCAAACAATAAATTAAAGAATTGCGGGGGGAGGGGAAGATACGGGGAACAAGACAGGGTGGGAACATGAACTCATGATGAGACAAAGAAAACTTTCCAAAAAGAAAACACGATTTGGGACTTGTTCTAGATCAATGTTTCTTAAAGTGTGGTCCTAGGATCTACAAAATCAAAATTATTTGCTAGCTTACATGAAATATGTCAGTTTAAAATTGTAATATAGAAAATATTGATAAAAATATTCCATTTTTTTAAATGGAAAGAGATCCTGAGAGAAAAAAATGTTTAAGAAACACTGTCCCAGAAGACAGTTAAAAATGAAACCCTCAATTTACTTAACAGGAGTAACTCATGTTGAATTCAGTGGGACACAACTATGGTAGACATCTATAACAACACTAAGCATTGTTGTTTTTTAAAATGTATTTTTTTAAACTCAAGAATAGCCAGTTACACTCCAGAGCAGGTCTACAATGGTTTATGCGGTGAAACATTTTGACACACTTTATGAGGTAAAACCTCACTTCAATCTTTTTCTAAAATGTAAAAATAAGAACTACAACCATTAACAGTTTCACTGTAGTCAATAAAATTTATGCTCCATGGATTTTTCTAGGACTGGAGTATACTTGAGCCTCCCCCAGTTTTGTGACATGCTACATCCATGCAAAAGAGTATGTACTTTATATAGCAAGTGATACCAACTTTAATCACAGAGTTTGACCTATTTTTTAGGTTGTTCCAGATACTTACTGTATTTTGCCCAAAGTTATGGCTACCGATGGCAGATTTGATCAATACAAACTCATGTGAAGGGGACTAGATGAAGTTTGGGAAGAAGAGCTGAACCAATTCTCTGCATAGACATGGCTAGAAGGAAGGCACCCGAGATGCGGGGAACAGAAATGTGGCCATATGGATTCCCTAAACTAACTGCCTGCTGAAATGCAGCAGTGATACAGTCACACAGGGAGTGTCAAAGTCAGATACATAGGAGAAGAAGATGAGGCATCAAATTACCAGTGTGAATTAGAAACAAAACTATCAAGCAGATAACAACAAAATAACAACAATAACAACAAAATAGCCCAATAACAACAAAAACAAATCTAACAGCAAAACTATCTAGGGACAAATGCAAAGAAACATTATTTGTTTCCACTCAATTGATTTGAATCTTCTTCTCCTGTGGAATCTAAGATTTCATTTGGTGCACTGCCTTTCTCCGTGGTGTTCCCCTTACCTTCTCTAAGTAAACTTTGCTAGATTCAGTATGTTCTAAAAATTGTCTAGCTGATTACCTATATCAGTGTTGGCGAACCTTTTTGGCACCAAGTGCCGAAACAGGAGCGTACCATGTGCAGGGGAGTACCAGAAACCGGAAGAGCAGCTCCTTGGCATGCATGTACGAGTGCTGGAAACTGGAAGAGCAGCTTCCCAGTGTGTGCAGTTTGCAGTGCATGCATGCATGCTGGCCACCTGGTCTTCTGGTTTCTGGCACACATGCGCACACGAAGGCCAGCTGGCTAGCGTGCATGTGTGTGACGGAAACCAGAAGCTTAGCTTCCTGGAATGCGCATGCGCACCAGGAAACTGCTTTTCCAGTTTCTGATGCTCCCATGTGCGTGAAGACCAGCTGGCTGGTAAGCACATGCCGGAACCCGGAAGAGCAACAGGCGATGGCTTACGTGCCCGGAGAGATGGCTCTGCATGCCACTTCTGGCATACGTGCCATAGGTTCACCATCACAGTATATGGTCTCATGAAAAAAAACCTGGTGTAGGGTAATTGGTTGATTGATCAATTGATTGATTATGGGTCATTCATTCCTAGCAACTCCATAGCTTAAATGAGTAGGGTATTGCATTTTGAGATGACATGGCTTAAAGTCTCTCCCTCATCCCTGCCCTATAGGCTCCATACAGAAGGGAAGCAAATGACCGTTTGGGATTACCTCAAAAGCACTTGTGCAAAGGAACTTACAGAAAAACATCCAAATAGCACAGCAAGGAGTTTTGTAGCATGCTTTAAAAAGTCTCAGGGAATGGACAGATCTGATTAAGATGCCCAAACAGAACGAATACAGCAATAGCTAATATGCTTTGATAAAGAGACAGTGTGGTGTGGTGGTTAGGGTGTTGGACTAGGATTGAAGAGACCAAGGTTCAAGCTTACCCTTTGTCAAAGAAATTTACTAGGTGACATGATTACTTGGTGTGATAAAATGAAGAGAGATATTAATGTAAAGTATTTAAGATCTTGAAGCAGACATAGAATATGAATGTATCAGTATAGAAATGCAGCTATATTTGTTTTCTTAATTTTTTAATTGTGGGGGGAGAGAGAGGAGGTGGAAGGGTGTAACCATGAAACATTGGAAAATTAGAAATGAAAGAATACTTGAAAATTCCATGTAAGTGGTACAATAAAGCCCACATGTGGGTTATCATGTATATATTAATCTGTGAAAAAGCCCTACTGGCCTCAAATACATGATTCCAATGTTTCTTTTGCACTAAATGTAAATTTGCAAATAGCAGCTCTTGGATTGGAGCGAGCAATAGGGCAATTTTATAACCTGTGGACTTTAACAAACAGAATCCGTAACCATGGCTGGCTCAGGAATTCTGTGAGATGAAGTCCAAAGGTTGTAATGTTGTCATAGTTGCCCAGCCCTGTCTTGGATGGACTGCCATGCAGGGGCAGAGATACCTTAAAACTCACCTTCTTCTTTTGTGGTCTCGTGAAAATGGCTTATTTGAAGCTGAGAGGAAATTCTTCATAGAATTTCAGAACTGACAAATGTCCTTCCACGTATGCAATGCACATGAAATACAAACATTATTATTAGTAGTATTAGTATTATCTGAAGTTACAGACCAAACCAAATGATTGATGTAATTATAAAGACAAGGTATGCTATGATTTATATGGCTATTTTAAGTAAAACTCTAAATTACTGGAATTCACAACAACTATATAGTAGAAATTCCAAACACAGACAAATTTACAAGTAAAGTGAAACAATGCAGATTCAACAAACTTACCTACATTCATCCATCAAGGCGATCTTAATGGCATGATATATGCAAGTGGGGGCTTGTGGAAAGGATAAAACAACTTCAGAGTGTCTTCTGTGGTAAGAGTCACATATGAAATTCCATAGCTATCTCCTCAATAGAACCGAGGAAAGCTACTGTATTTTAATTCAGAAATCAATTTCTTTGGCAATCAGAGAACATCCTAGCAACAGCAAAATCTTGCTATCTTGAGTTTTTCTTTTGTATGAAGATCCATGTGATGCTTGAGCTAGGAACATATGGGTTCATTGCCTTAGACACAACACTTTCTTGTCAGCCTTTGTTATTACATGTTTTTTTGGAATAACTGGTTTATAGTAAGGAAGTGTTACTTGCCAGGAGCGATAAGTTTGAAATGTGAATCAAAATATAAGATAAAAGCGATAAGCAGAAACAGGTGTTGGGCATCTAACACAGCATGTAATACATGTTGTCATCAGTTTCCAAGGAACTTGGAGTAGGGGAGAATAAAGTTACAAAGCAAATGTGGTATAACAATTCAAATACCGGCCTAAACCTGGGAAAATTCATTCTTGCTCAGACATGAATCTCATTCTACCCAGGGCAGGCCTTTCCGCCTGTTTTATCTCACAGGGTTGATGTAAGAACAAAATGTTAAATATATTGGACTCTGGAGAAAACTCCCTTGAATAAATGGGCCAGTCATAAGCTTTCACCCAACCTAATGTATGTTTATTAGTGAAATAACACTGCAGAATCTCATTTTGGGATGAGGATAAAATTACAATTAAGATCAGAAAGGAAAAGAGCGGAGCAGTGAGATGAGAACTCTGATGCAACCTTATACTCATATGTCAAGGCCTTCCATCACTGCACTGAGAAGCAGGAAGAAGCATATAAGAAGATTAGCCTCTCCCTGTCAGCTGGCAAGC